TATATATGTAGTGATACAGTAACAGTAACAATAGCAAAACACAGTACTCTAGATTTTGAGCAGTGTTAAAACACATTAATATTTTATAGTAATATGTACATTTATATAGACATAATTTGATTACCTAAGTAAGTAAAACCTGTCTATGGCGACCACCCACAGTTCCTTCAAAAAGTTGTCTTTTAGACAGGTGGTCGTCCAATACAGGTGGTGCTGTAATACTGTATTTCCGTACATATTTTGCACACTTTTTAGCCATTTCTACTAAGCAAAACTTGAGGTGAAAAAAATAAGTGAATTTTTTCAACGATATGGCTATATTGGTATTGTATTTTATTCTTATTGGATAACTCAATTTACAGGAGTCGTCGTGATTTTATAAGACAGATTTAATACCAATATTTTAAAGATTAATACAATACTCACATTTTCTTGATTATAATGCACACTTTCTTTTTCCCGACTTAATTAATTCAACTTGGTTCTTTTCATTCGCTCCTCAGTTATGTGTATTACATCATCGATATACAAGTGCGTTGTATCTCTACATCACTTTGGTTTTGGTATGCATTAGTTTAATCTTATTTTAACTTTAAAAATACTGTATTTTTTAATATTTAATATTTTCTTAAGTACAATAAGAAAAATTATTAATTAATAATAAAACAATTTTATTATATTTTCTCATAATACGATTTCATTATATTCTGTGATTATCATTGGACAATTGCGGAATCAAGAAAGAAAGGTTGCCTGTAAAACTGATTTTTGCATTAATGTGTTTATTGTTTTTTGAATATTTTGCGTGTGGAAAATTACTTGGATATTATTTTTTCTAAAAATACCGTGGAAATAAGGTAGATTGATACAGAAACTATTTATTGCACATGTACTGTATATAAGCTTAAAAAAAAAAAAAAAACTAAATAATAATTAATAAATAAAAAAAATAAATTTTATCAAACAATGAGATCAGCCGATTAATTGTATCGTGTACAATATTTTATACCCCTAAGGAAAATACTGTAGGTCTATGGTAAAATAAATTTCATTTTCCTACAGTTAAAACTTCACCACTAATTGCTGTTGTGATAAACCATTTTCACTTTCTCTCATAATTTTAACAAAATCTTCTCACAACAGCACTTTGCATTTCTTTGATTTTTGGACATTTTCCAACAAACTGAAATGGATTTCCTTTGTTGCTGGACTAATTTATTAACACCTGCACCTAATTTCAAGGGTGGGAGAAGTGGCCAGGTGGGTTCAAACATAAGTTAAGACTAATTCATTATATTAGGAGGGGGAAATGTTGAACAATAGACCAGATATATCTGCAGAAGTGGTTGCTTATTACAGTTGTTGTATGTTGTTTCGGACCAAAAATTGATGCCTGTGGTCGCGTTACACAGGTGGTCATTTAATACAGGTAACTTATACGAAGACTCTATGGAAAAACTATTCTGTGCCAGAAATTTTTGTCCATTTTAACAGGTGCCCATTGAATGCAGGTGGTCGCCTAAGCAGTTTTCACTGTATTACCTAAGTATTTAATAACCCAAACTAGCTTACCCGTCGCGCATTGCTGCGATCTCAGAAGAAAGGAAATTCAAGCAAACTCATTATGATAAAATTCAATTTTCATTTTATCATTTTTATTGAAACTTATTATATTATTATTATTATTATTATTAATTTTCATCGGGAAAACATTTCAAAGTGTCGTTTCAATTCTATTTATTTATTGGAGTGTTTGTGGATACACGATATTTTTTGTTTTTCCGTCTGGTGCTTATGTTACTGTAAAAGCCCGTATATTGGTAAATCCTAGGTTTTACTTGTAAATCTTCGGATTTACCAACATGAGTTGGTAAATGTAAGGATTTTTATAAAGTGAGATGATTTTCCGGGCTTTTACCATTAGAATTTGGTACATGCTAGGTTTTACTAAAGACGATTAGTAAATGTTGGTTTTGGAAATAAAACTATGAGTATTTTAATAATCATTTATTGCAATTATTATAA